TAATAACACATCAATTCTTTTTTTAAATGTGTATATTAACCCGATTTACCTACTACCGGTTAATAATGATCTTGGAGTCTCCGATTTATTTTGGTCTAGATTAAGATGTAGTTAGGCACTGGGAATATTTCATCTTCAATCATGTTTAGGACCATTTTAAGTTCATTACCAGAGTGGTTACATTTCTTTCATCGTTGATCCTACTTATAATTGTAATCAGACATTCCTATGTGCCAGATTGTTTGTCCTGTGGCTCTCTTAATTGAATTGTCCTTATCTGTTCGTTTGAGAGTTGCCTTATTTCCAAATGTACCTTGAATAATAAAGTATATGAGTTTTAAATATCCGTTTATATTTAGGCCACGAAGGCACGCACCACTTTATCTTTGGACTCCAAGTCAAGGGTTCGACCCAATCTGCTCTTGACGGACTATCATATTGGCAACTGGATGAACTTCTTAATTGGCTTAAGTTCTACGTCAACAAGTATCCATGCATCGGTGAGTTTATGACCACTTGTGAGTAATTAAGTATAACTTTTAAAATCCTTTAATATAACGATCGTTATGAATCACGATTTTTGTATTTGGTTATTTAGCATTTTTATGAAAGGTCACTTTGGCACTCATGTATACTCTTTGCTTTCCTAAGTAGTAGACAAAATAATGCCAACTAAAGCTCTCCTTTAGTAGGCAGTCTTGTAATAACCGGATCTTGATAATAGATCACATTCCTCCATAGTAGTAAATAACCATATAAAGTTTGGGGTTTGTCTAAAAATTGATTTCCTCTCCTAGTTCATAACAAGTTGGTCTATCTTTTTAGAAACAAGGCTTGACGGCAAGGTTAGGACATCAGATAGTTATTAACTTGTCTATCTCTTGCCATACAATATAGGTAGTAAAAATATTCTTTATTACATCAAAAGGTTAATAATATTATATAGCTGAAGATGATTTTTTATTTTTACCGGATATATACACCAAAGATTTATATATATGTATTAATAATCTTATTGTTTTGGGAGCCCCTAAAGGTGACGCAATGAGAGTCGTCGATAATTAATTTAGACGTCATTTATACCTATAAAAATAAAAAGAAAGAAAGAAAAATGAACTCATCACTTCAAGGAGCTTAGCCAATATACTTCTGATTTTCTTTTTATCTCACCAAGGGCCTATTCTTAGCTTAAATCGCTTGATGTGCGGTTATTAACTTACACTTTTAATTAATATACTTTTCTTTTGCCGACACTCCTTTCTAAACCTTCTCTAATTGCAGATTCGGGCTTTCATCATTGAAAGGTAGTTTTTAATGTCTATTCTTATTGCCAATCTAATATCCTTTATTATTATCAGATAGCTTTATTGATCACACTAAGAACGAAGGATTAGATCTAATCTCTTACATTTTGGCTCATCAACGAGTGGGCATGATCTATTTGAGCATGGGTTATATTTTAACCATTAGAATTTTTCATTCTAGGCTTTGTGATTGGACCTTATTATGAAACAAATGGCGACCCCACTATTCATCTGAAGAGCCTAGAAAGAACATGGATTGAGATGCGTCTACAAAGAAACAATTTAATGAAAATATTTCCACCCTGCAATCAGTTCTACGAAGATGATAAGTCTATCTACTGGTGTCCTCCGTCTGTCAGGTTAGTATCCATTTTATTGCCCAATATTTCAATTCCTTATAGGCATTGCTTTTAAGACCTTCAAAATTTTACTTTATTTGCCAATCTAAGGCACAAGGTCGCGTCGTTATCACGTGTCATGTTTAATGACGTTTACTTTTTATTTTATTGCATATTTATTTATAGTGTTTATAATGAGACCTACTTCACTTAAATGATTGGCTACGTTGATTTTCTCATAGCCGTCTTCAGCTGAATTTGATTCTTGTATACCCATTTTATTTCATTTGTTTACATGCCTATATAAAATTAAATACGACTACTTGTCTCTTCATATTGTTAACTCAAAGTAACCTTTCTCAATTCTTTTATATTCAGTGCAAATGGTGAGACGATTCTTCGACCTCGCCAGCTCTTGGAGCCAGGCAAGGTTCTTGCTCGATGTGCATGTGTCCAACCCGAACTTCTTAGTCACCCTCGATTACAAACCTACCTAAATTGTCCCCCAGAGGCGACTCGCTGTGTATACACAGCTGACAATCAAGAACATACCAGCTGGAGCCACTTAGGCCTGCTAATTAACTTTGGCTAACTTTGCTTATCGATATGTCTTATATATCTCCGATATAGTCGAATTTCACGTTCTGTTATACTCGCGCCAAATCCTTGCTGTTGACCTCTATTTTTCGGGGTGTATTTTATTTTCTGGAGCTCATCAACCATCTGTTCTTGTCATATAGACGAATTTTAATGGTCCACTTTGATCATCTCTTCATCTTACGTCCTAGTGTGCAGTCATCTAGCCCAGTTTCACTTTAACCTTCTGGGTTACATTTTTTCTTAACCTGTAAAAATAAACTTTTTTTAATCGTCTGTTTCTTCCATGTTATCAGTTTATTTACGCCTAGCCTACCCACAATTCGCCTGCTAATTTTGACAGCGTTTATCCATCCACTATCGTTCATGTTATGATACTATTCTATTGATATTGGAATACCTTTATTTAGTTTCAAAAGTCGAGTGAAATGAATTCGTAAATTGGTCTCACTGGAAGCTGTAGGAGGGTTGCCTTATAGCTGTGATTTAGATTTATGCCTTGTGACCTCAGGCGGTGCGCCGAGTACCGAGGATTCTTCGGAACCCAGTTTTCCTACATACATATTATTCTTTTATTTAGCTCTTAGCTTTTCTTTTGCAGCTCCTTTATATCTCAACTGGTAAAAGAATATACTTTCTATATGAAACATTTATATACTTGTTGATTGCGCATCCACTGTCAAAATCAAGTAAATCTTTTCTAAATATCATAATTAGGATTCTAAGTAATATATATTGCGAAAGATTTTATCAGTTGACTTCCTAATGCATTGTCGAATGGGACTAGACTGGAGCTACATTTTGTGTGCTTTTGTTTACTATTATTAGGGGCACTTTATTGTATGCAAGTGAATAAAAATAGATTAGTTGGTCAATCTCACCAGATGAGGACGGATAAATCTCGTTATGCTTTCGCCGTTTGGCTTTTATACGATATTCATATTGACGCAGTTCAGGAGACTTCCTCGTTTTGGATGAAAACGTGCTGAGCTTTCGCCCATCATATGATGGACATCATCAGATCCGGGTTTCATTCTCGTAAAAGTCTCACGTTAACACTAGGGCAAGAACACTATCCGGTCATATCTTACTTTTTATTTAGACTCAATTGAGCCATAAGAAAATTAAAAATCTAGATAGATCGATATTAAGTGGTTTGGTTAATTATCTTTCATACTGGTCCTGCTACTTTTGCTCGAGTGTGTGCGTGTTAGTGTCTATATGCAATATGGTCCTAAATCAGAGGTTTAATCTCAGGTTTTGATCCTCAAGACCTAATGGCTCAAGAGGAAGCCTTGACAGACTGCGTAAGTCCGTAAGCAAGTATGGCTGAAATAATGAGATATGAGCTTGTAGGCACGAAAATCAAGTTACGAAACCACTTGTCCTAACCTTTCAGTCCAGGGTCATTAAAATTTAACCCCTCAGGGAAAGGCAAGACGGGTTGGATAATCTGACATTTCTGGTTTGGTTGGTGAGCTTACTCTAACATGTTGGACGAATGTGAGTGGAGTTAGAACCAACACTATACTATACATACAAGTGGTGCTTTCCTGCAATATTCCTCAGATATCTATCCATCTAGCTATCTCCTCTAAGTGAGACTTGATTTTTCATC